AATATATTTATATGTAAAATAATATAAGATTTTAAAAAATCACCTTTTCAATTTAGATTTTTAGAATTATAGCAAAGTACAAAAAAAAAAGAAAATATAATGTAAATTAAAGATATAGGAATTAAAAGAGATTAAAATATATATATATATATATATATATGTATTAAAGAGATTAAAGATTATAAATATAAAATAAGAAATAAAAGTATAGATGACAAACAAAGGTGGCTATATTATTAAAAAAATAGAAAAATTTGATAATAGTTTAATGGGATATAAGAGTAGGCACAATATCCTCATAAGATATACACTTGTGAATAAAATTAATATTATCAAAAAAAATAATATGGTGATTTTAAAATTATATATAATTCATTATATGTAATTGCAGTATTTTAATTAAGTTGAATATAAGCTATTTAATTTTAAAAGTTTTAAACATAATAGATATATATATATATATATATAATTTTTATATAAGCTTAAAATATTGTAATCAATGTACAAGACATTATCAATTTGAATCAAATCTTGTCATTATAATAAACCCTATTTATACTCAAGCAACTATCTTTTAAAAAAGAATTGAACTTTTTATATTTTAAGTCTAACTAATTTAATAATATTATTTTTAAAAATTCAAAGAAGCACCTTATCATTTCTTTATTTTTTAAATTTTATTTATACTATTTTTATATTTAATTTATTTGAAGTAAAAATTATTTTTTATTTTATATGATATTTTATTTATTTTTTGATTTCATAATTCTAAATTTAAATACAATTATTTTTAAAAAATTTAATACCAATATTTTTTAAAATCTAATAATTTCTTAATATTTTTAATTATTTGAGTTTTTAGTATTTTTCATATAAACCAATATAAATTTATTTTAATTTTTTAAATTACAAAGAAAGTTTTGTAGGAGACTAATTTATTTTTCAAATTTTTTTTAATATTATTTTTAAGCTTAATATTTCTTTTAATTTTATTTTACAAGAAATATAAAAAATTTACTATCTAATCCGATTTAATAAAATAATTATTCTTCTTTCTAACTTTTTGTGAAAAAGAGTTGTAAGATTATTTTCCTTGAATTGAATCTTTGGAGCTTCTATTATTTCTTTATTTCTTCTTTGTATTAGACTGTTAACAAGAAATTTATATTACTTCAAAAAATTGCTTTAATTTCTTTTATTATGAGGTTTTTACTTGCATTAGTCTTAATAATACTATCTTCTTCTTTTTGATTTCTTTTTTCTTCTAAAAGATTATCTTTATTTTGATTATGTATTAACCTTTAAATTAAGTCCTTATAGCATAAATCTTTTTTTTTTTTTTTAATAATGCATATAAAAATTCTCATTACTTCCATTAGTAGCAATAAGCTTGGTTCAAATGGCTATTGTCTATAAGATCATTGTATCATTCATACTTTACATACAAGACCTCTTTAATGTATCATGAAGATAATACTTGCTACTGAATTTCAAAATCTAATTTTTTATTTTATTATTTATGAAGTCATTTTTAATTTAAACAACACTCTTTTATACTTGAAATGCATTAGAATGATGGAAAAAATTATTTGATAGAAGATATAATATCAAAGAAATACAAGAATTCTAGTTTAATTAACATTTAGAGCCCTAATAGAAAAATATTTTCTTAAGTTAGAAAAATAAACATGATAAAAATTAAGTTATAGTTTTTTTAAAAGAAAATTTGATATTTACTTCAATTAAAAAGTAACATCTTGGAGTGGTAATAATATATGATAAGAGAGAAACAACAACTTACAGTAAATTAAGGATCACTTAAAAATTATTTGGATATAAAATGTACTACTTTTTTGGACCTTTAGACTTACTTCTTCCAAATCTAACTCAAAAGACATTCATAGCAAAATGAACCACAAAAATGACAAAATTAAAAAAAAAATAATATAAAAACTAATCAACTCTCTTATTGAGATTTAAAACTGGTGAAAGAAGAAATAGACAACAATAGAGGCATAGTAATATAGGCATATGAGCAATCATGAAGGATAGATCCTATGATGTCCTATACACTTTTGGTTGCATATTCAATATAATACAATAAACTTTAAAGTATAAAACTTGATAATATAAACTACTTTACTTTATTCAGGTAGTACATATGGTGGTCTTAAGTACCAAAAGAGAGTAGTGACCACTAATGGAGCTACAAATAATCTAATAGACATGGAACAAAAGAATGATGGATGTACAAATTGATTTTTTGATTTATAGAACAAATGTTGACAACTTCAATACCTTCTCTCAATCTCTAGGCTATAAATTACTTACTCTATTTTATTTTGATCACAAAGTAAAGAGATGGATTGAGTTCAATACTTTCAAAGAGATAGTTTGATTCAAATTTTTATACTAGTTGTTCAGACCTTCTTGGTGTTTCTATTGAGTTTGCTCAATGTATTAAGAGATTTTGTAGAGTGATGCATTATTTCTTATGTTGTTAATAAAATTACTTCTATGAAGTATTCTTTAAGGACATTGAATATTGTATTACTATTACCTAGTAAAAGACTAGATAATTGAGAGGTACAGCAAAGCAGGCCAATGTTTGATTGATCTTCTTAGTATTATGTTGTTTGGCATAGACATCAGCCTAGAATATATCTATTGTGGAAAGATTGTAAAAGAGTGGTGAAGGGCTTTGATTAAGCAAAGTTTGAGTTATTTTGAATTAAAAAAGAAGCATAAAGTTTTTATTTATAATTATAGGAACCTTATTAGGATCTATTCAATGACTTCAATTGCTTGGAATTTAAAGAATTTGCAATGAATTACCTAAGAGTTTAAAGCTCACTAAATGTAATGCATCTTTAAATTTTTGAAATAAGTTTTTTTCAACTAGTTTTGTAAAAAAATGTCAAAGACATGAATTTCAAAGAAAAAAAATCTCAATACACTATTGTGCTACTTAAAAAGACTAAAAAATCACTCAAAGATGATATAGTATTAAGCTAGAATGGCTATTACTAAAGACAAGAAGACTAGAAAGTCTTGAAACAAGACTAAGGACTAAAAAGGCATGGATAAGAGTGAAGAAGGCTTCACTCTTACCTCCATATATATTCTTAATTAAGAGCTACATGGCAATGTCTTGTAGAATCTCCAAAACATGTTGACTTTGCAAAACATATATCTTAACTTATAAGGCGAGTTTTTTATATGTGCACCACATGGTTAATTTGTTTTGCAAGCTACCAACATGTGGTTAACTTGTTGGCCAAGTTTCTAACCTACTAATCAACTACAAACATATGTAAAGTCAAAGCAACATCCATGAAGCTTCTAGGAAGCTTGTCTAAAAAATATTATGAAATTAATCTACTTTTACCTACTTCTACTTAATCTTATAGGTAAATATTAGAGTAAATATGTATGTCCATGATAGCTTTATATATAGTTTTTTTAAATATTCTCTTTTAATAGAAAAAAATTGATGTTGTTTATAAAATCTTTATCCTTGGTTTCAATTAAATAGACCATAGGTGATATAATGTAAGAAAAGAAAAGAATGTATTGATAATCATATTATTAAAAAAAAAAAAAAAAAAAAAAAAAAAAAATCTATACTTTAAAAATTCATATGTTTTATTAGTACATATTAATTAAAAATTCCACAAAGAAAATAAAAGTTTTTTTTTAGCACTTTTGTATTAGTTATTGCAGCTTGATAATTTTATTAATTCTTAGATTCAATATTCCAAGTGTTGTAATCAATTTCTCTTTAAAGAGATCATTTATTGTTGTTTTAAAATAACAAAAAAATAAATTAAAAATTAAAGATATCATTTATTGTTGTTTTAAAATAATACAAAAATGAATTAAAAATTGTTTTTTTTAATTTTTATTTTATTTTTTTATAACTAGATTATCTTTAATGATATAGTTTTATGGTCATGTAAAGGCCACATTGAATCAAAATATGTAAAATATGAGTTCTTACTAAAGAGATTCCAAATTAATTTATTTAATATTATTTTATACTCAAATCTGATTGAGAATTTTATTCTTAAATTTAATTATTCTTACAATCAATTTTTCATAAATAAATTATAAGGATTTATCTAATTAATTATCTACGTTGTACATTCTCTTTATGTTTTGATCTAATAATGTAATTGAATATAATTTATTGAATTTTTATATTAAAATTTGTGGTAATTTTAAGGTCTTTTGGAAATTATATGAAAGATCATAATAGAATTAATTATCAACAATCATGGTAGTATATATTATTATAATGGTATAAATTAGTTCTTTTGTATGTCAAATAATAATTCTTTGTTAAAACAATTCAAGTATAAAAATTCTTAGTTAATTACATTATTGAAAGACTTCAACAAAATTTCAATATTTATACCATAATGTTGTAAGTTGTGCAGAAACGTTTTCCTATCTTAATAAATATTTTTGTATTTCAACTGATTATTTTCAAATGTTGGAGCATACTGTACAAGATTTGTAAAATTTGGCACAAATCTACCATTTCTTATTACTTGTTCTCTTAAATAATAAACACTATATTGTAGCACTGCAATTAAATTCATGTTAAACTTCTTAAATCCTTTGTTAAATATCCAATGTATAAGATGAAATAATTGGTTGTAAATATTCCTTAACAAAGAAAATAACACTATGCTGTGACCAAGTTGTTACTTCTAAACCTTTTAGCAAGTGGATGTTATTTCCAAGTGGTTGAACTCCCTTACAACACTTCTTCCACAAGTTTTTCTTCTACTTATTCACAGGTAGACAACACTCGGCACAAAAAAACTACCAGTTTTCCACAAAAATTCGTTAAGCAAAGCATCTATGGAAAAAAAAAAAAAAAAAAAAAAAAAAAAAGGTGATTCAACCCAACACAGCAAATGTGAAAATCATTTTCAGTTGCTAAACCTCATGCATGTTCTAAAGAAGGGAATTCGTCCTCCCAAATACTTCAATTAATGCTAGAAATAACTTTACACCGTGTCAACTATGAGCATTCGAAGTTGTTCAGCTGGGTGCATCCCACACTGTACAGAAAGGCAAAATAAAATAAAATAAAATAAACTTTGCAAAAATAAAAAATTAAAAAATTAAAAAGAGAGAAAAAAAAGACCACAACAATCTGAGTGAGTGAGGTACAGGAGACAGACGCCCATGTGATGCGGCGTCTTCAAGTGTAGTCAGAATTGCTGTGCAGATCCTGCGGTGCGAACACGGAGACCGAGTTCCTCACATCGCGAAGCTCAACCATGGCGGCATTTGTTGAGGTTTCCAACCGGAAGAGTGAAGAGAGAGTTTTCGCGTGTCAACAATCCAGCTAATGCGAGATACCACGCGATGATGGCGGTGAAGATGCCGAAGAATCCTCCAGCCTAGACAACACAGCCACCACAACTTCGACAGTTATCGATCACATGATCTAGACTGGACCCCATCAGGATTGCTGCCATCAGCTCGACGATGCTGACTGGGCAAGCAATTTAACAAATATGGGCTGAAAAGAGGTGTATGTGTGAGAGAGAGAGAGATTTGGTGCTCACCCGCTTGATGCGATGACCTTCTGCGCCTTTGTATTCGGCGATGGTGAGCAGTAGAAAAGTGATTGTCAAAAAAGCGAACAAGGCGCTGATGACGACGTTGGCCCGCAACGTCCCAAACCACATCATGAAAGTGAAGATCGTCCAACCGAGTAAAAAGATGGCGATCGCGGGCGCCACGTCGCGCTCGTAGCCGCCTAGGTAAGAGTCGTGCACGCCGAACCAGGGGATGAGAATCGCAGCGTAGGAAAGCCAGAAGGCTCCGTATGAGGTAAACGCAGTGGCTCCAAATGTGTTGCCCGTTCTGAATTCCCACATTCCTGCGAGGAGCTGGGCCAGGCCGCCGTAGAAGAGCGCCAGCCCTGTGACGACGTTCGGGGGCGTCGTCACGGAGATCCCGAAGATGCCTGCATTGTAGCACGACAAGACGAACGTGGTTAGGGCGAATCCCATGAGCCCCAAGGGCGCCGGGTTCGCGACTCGGGTAAAGTGGGGCGCCGGAGGGTGGGTGACGTGCTTGCCGATGTCCGGGCCATCGTGAAGCTCCTTCTGTCCATTCTCTGCCATTGCTGCAAGGAGAATAAAGAAATAAAATTATAATTGAGAGACAAACGAACAGAACACAATTAGAACAGTCCCTTCTTCACCAGATTCTACCCCAAGTGATTGTTAATCATCTACCTGACTACTGCCTTTATCCTCTGAGAATTCTAATAACTATAGAAGTCGCGCTCGTCGATCTGGAAATCTCTGATGCGTCCGCTAAGAATTGAGATGTTCGTAGCAACAGCAAGCAGGAACCAATTCACGAACTAAACAGCCCCACCCCACGCTGCATCCAATGGATCCCACGTCCGACTAAAGCGATGACCACACCCACAAGGAACGCAACTGAAACACGAAATCTGCAGGCTAATTTCACAACATTTGTTTGATCGAGTCAGTTCTTTGTACCGTGAATCGTGAAGAGGTTTTAGGAAAGAAACGAGAGGGAATCAACACAAGAAGGAAGACGTTGCAAACAGAAATGAATGTTTCGTCGTCACCTGATTCGTGATTGAACTACCAGCACCTAATTAATCACTGCGGCTCCACCTCCCACCCCCTATCTTGCAAGATGCAGCAATGGCATCACCAAACAAAAGCGAGCACAGCTTATATCATTGACGAAGACGAATGTCGAAGCATCGATGGGTCTCAGCTAAAAGATAATGATAGTCCCTCGTGACTGGTGAACTGCAGGACGGTTGGGAAGAGTCGACAGTACTTGCGAGTTCAAGTCATGCGCAAATTATCGCACTTAAAAGTGTGAACAATCCTTTTCACGATGCCAGCGCATTGTTTTTCGGGTCCCACGGCGGTTGTACGATTTCAATTGCAGGCAGCTTGCAATGTGGATGGGTTGATACTCTGGCGTGACACCCGGCTTATCCTACTGTGAGATCGCTGTGATCAGCCGAGTGTCAAAGCTGCATGATTAATTGATGCTAATAAAATTTCGAGGCTATCTTGGTCTTTCCTACGATAGTTCTCACTGATCTCAACTAGACAGACTCAAGAGTTGCTGCACAAGCTGAAATATTCCGGCCACGTCAAATTGTTCTCTTCGCCGTCATTGTTGGTCTTGCAACAAAATAAACTACTTCAAACTTTAAATCTGAGAATTATCCATCCGAGGTAACTGCAATTCACAGAGCTAGTTTGTCAGATGGGCCCCATTTTTTACTGAACATGTCCTTTATGACATGGACCAAAAGCTTTGGCAATCATAGTGGTTCACTCCTTGCCCAAGGTGTGAGTTGAAGTGGCGTGCTTATTAGGTTCTTCGTTACTTACGCTGATCCCATTTTCATGAAACTTTCAGAGGTTTTTATGAACAATTTTTCAGACACGATGTAATTAACCAAAGTACTCAGAGCTCAACTTCACGACAAAAAATCCTCGTTGAAATTGAGAATGATGTAGTCCTTGTATTGTATAAGAAACTGAAGCTGCTGGGGGGCTGAACTCCAATGCAGACTCCTTGATGATACTTCTAAAGCTGTAAAAAAACTGCGTGGTCAAGTATTTAATCCTCCAATTTCCTTCTTTCTCACAGCGCCGCCTTAAAGCTCCACAGCAGCGGTGATTCATAACTGGTCCCGAAGACTAGACCACCGATTCTACTGGTGTCTGGTAAGATTACCAACCGGGAATATAGCATAAGAGTTTCCATGTGTCAAGATTCCAGCAAGAGCGATGTACTACATAATAATGGCTTGAAGATACCCTTGAACCCACAAGCCTCAAAACTCTGATTCCCACCAAACGAAATTGTCAGCAGCTGAATCTCGGTCAACATGCACCTTCATGTCACACCATAAACTGGGCTCTTTTGAAGTGGGCAACGATGGGTTCACTCAGCAATAGAATCGATGAGTGGAATACTCTATCGAATCCGTGGGAGCGCTTGAAGTCAGAGATGGTGAGTAGGGCGAAGGTGATGGTATGAAACGCGAACAAGGTCCTGAGCCCGATGTTGGCTCTCGCAGCGACCGCAATGGAATTGAGCACGTTCTGCTCTAAACTGCGCATGTTCGATTCCATAACGTCGAAGCCAGAAACCTGGACCATGACCCACGCAATGATATTCGTCCTATCATGCGATACAGCGTCGTTGGTGCAACCCGCAGTCCAAATAGCGCAGGGCAGTGCAACAGGTTGCTTAATTGCGTGGTCTAAGTGATAACCAGTCTGCCCATTTTCTGCCATTTCCGAATTTCGCATTCAGCAGTCGGCAATTCGTAGGAGAGCACCATGTGAGTCGCTAGTTTTATTAAGGTTTTTCATGAAATCCTTCACTGCTGGCCCAAGTTTCCAACAAGAAGTTTCCCTCTTCTTCAATTTTAAACTCCACATCACGAGACATTATCGAGAATCAGCGAACAGTCCACAAATCTTAACTTTACAATTCAGCTTTGAACCCACCATCGAAAACCTCAAAGACGCCGATCAGTAGTCCAAACAGCCAATCAACAAACCGAATCATTCGGTGCTCCGCTCCTCAAAGGCTGTAGATCGAACATTCGGGCTGCATTCGAACAGCTACCGATTGAACGCATTCACGACTGGTAAAAAAATATCCTTCTGACATGAGCAAACATTTCAATTTCTTATCCGTCTGGCCCACATTTCGATCGAACCCCAGCTTAGGACGCTCTATAACGGGAGCAATCCAAATGGTGATGCCATTGTAACTTGAATGGATGGCATGTGTGCACACTACTGGCAACCGCAGGAGCACCGAGCATCCGTCACAAGACACTGCAGCGATGGTGCGGACCCACCTGACATGGTTGACAAAAGAGTTGTTCGGTGGACATAGGGCGACTCAGATTATGGTCTGGAATGCCGGAAAGGATTGCTCGCATCGTCCCATCTATCTATCACATAAACATGAATCCGAGCTTCAAAATTCCGCGTCTTGTGCGATGACTCACGGGATTCATCTTCTGGAAACTCTAAAATTCGGAACTCTTCAATCAAACTGCGAGTTCCCAGTATGTGGTGAGACTGGGAGCTCCACAAGAGTTTTGGAATCACCTTATCCAATGTGGAATTTCTACAATGTCAAGGGGGTGGGAGGGGACACACAGCTATAAATTAAAGTGAAAATATCACACATGCCCCAAAATTTTCCCGAAATATCAAGAATACCCCTCAATCTTGATAATAGCAAATCTATCCCTCCCTTTTGTGAGCCCCTCAACTTGATAACCTATCAAATTCCAGGTTTTTTTAGTTTGAACTAGAGCCCGGAGCGGCTCTTTTCTGCACTGCCTAGGCCCCCCTCTAAATAAAGGCCCCCTCCCCCACTGTCGTCGCAGATTTTCCGGCAGTGTGCCAAGAGAAGGGAGCACTGGCCATCCATGTGGGGAAGTGCCTTTATGTTCATGAGCTCAATTGAGGCCTTCAGGATGATCTCGTGATGATCTGTAGCTGTAATTAAATTTCAGGGGCATGTGTGATGTTTTGTGAGATGGAATCATTCAAAGCTCAAAACCTTTAAAATACAAGTTCCATCAAAATTAATTGTACTGCAAGTTGTTGATTTGGGCCCAAGGACAAGAACACTTCATAAAGTTGTTGGAGGAGTGAGAAAATATCTGGAACTTGTTATTGAAGGACATGATGTGGTAGAAGTGGTAAAGAAGGAAGAGTATCAAGGTACCACTTTGGATGCAAGTTATTCACATCCAAAGCACTATTTATTGTAAGCATTTGACTAAGCCAATGTTTGCATGGCAATCCAAGGATTGTTGTAAATTGTATAATTCAAATTACTATACTGTCATTATTTATGTCCAATGCAGACATCAACCTGTGAACCTTCATCAAGGCAAATGTCAAGATCCTTTTACTACTTAATCATAAAAACTCCCTCAAAAATCAAGCTAAATCTGCATCTTCTCATCTTCAATCTTAGCTTCCAACTCCCTCTTTTAATACTCCATGTACATTATTATCTTCCTCAACACATTATAGGAGTCCATTGTAGGTACTTATAATCATTTTTTTAACATTGCATGACTACCTTTAACATGTAAGGTGTTAATATTACCAAAATAAAGATATTAGAAGGACTGCATGGTGACAAAATATTTCTTTAAAAGAATTTAGGTTGTCCATATGTAGTTGGTGGTTGTTTGATGACCACTACAATGTTGTTGAAACTCCTCTCAATTACATTCAAAAATCTCAAATGAGCAGCTTGCAATTACAAGGTTCTTGTATTAGGTAATGATCATCCAATTATTTGCGAAAAAAAACCTTACTTGCATTGTGACAGGAAATTTTGATTGATATATCATATGCAAAGAAGAATTGCAATTATAAAAAAACTTATCTTATAATAGCCATGAGTGCAAGCTCTACATCAATCACAATAGTTCAAGGATCATGAACTATTCATGACTATTCATGAACAATGTTGCAATCCTTTCCAATGCCTAAATATAATCAACTTCTTCCTTTTTCTTTTAAAAACACAAAGCAAGATGAAAGTAAGCAAAAGACTACATACTTTTGAATAAATTGTCTTTAGAGGAGTATTCATATTTAAGTGCCTCCTCCCCCCTTCTCCAAGATGCTCAATGTTTATTTAAAATGTTGCCTCTACAAAATCTGCAATTCTAATGTTGCACTAAGCAATTTTTGCAATAAGTGTTTCTCCATGAAATCCAAGGCTTTTGTTAGTTTAAAAGTAGATACATTAACTTGCCTATTGAGCAAAACTCTAACCCAATTTTGAATGAAAGTGTCAATTTAATAACTCTAAGTTGTAATATTGGCAATACAATTTTTATACTCTATCATTTGAGTATACATAATCTTAGAATTAAAAAAAATAGTTATAATTAAATATAGCTCCAATTACTTTAAACTACAAAAAAGTCGATTTTTTTTAATGACAAATGCTTCTTCTTTTAAAAAACAATATTGCCAAAAAAATACAAAAAAATATATATATAGTATAAAACTTCATAGTTATCTTTAAAGACCATTTGTTATTATTTTCCAATTGTAAATATTTCTTCTCAACCATATTTTTTAAATATTATTTTAATTGACATAAGTAATTATTTTAAAGACCATTTGTTATTATTGTCCAATTGTAAATATTTCTTCTCAACCATATTTTTTAAATATTATTTTAATTGACACAAGTAATTATTTTAGAAGAATTTATTATCTTAGAGATGCATACATTTTATCAAGTTATGTAGAAGTCATGTACAACGAAGAGATTAACAAAAATAAATAAATAATTATGAAGTGTTTAGAAATGTGAAAAAGTGCAGAAAATATAGGACATTGAGTACAATTAAAATTAAGAAATAGAAACGAAGATAACACTATTTAATTATTTAGTAATAATGGACTTGTGAAACTTTTTATTGAAAGCCAGACTAAAAATAACACCATCCAAGTGTTTGATTTTAAAGATAACCATGAGATTTTATAATACTTGTAAATCAAATTAAAACGCTAATACAACAATGAGCATTCTTACATAAAACTGACTTTGGTTGAACTAGCTTCGAGTCAATATTATACAAATCAATATGTAAAATCTTAAAATAATTTTCTTTCAAAATTAGATTTAAAAATAAATAAAACAGTCAAATTAAAACCAAAAGTCATATTCTTAACATCATGCAACTATTTTTCTAATATGTACATATATATATATATATATATATATACATATATAGATATTAAATTAATTCAAATTTACAATAACTTCACATGTGTGTGTATAAATAAATATATATAATAAATAAAAAAAAAGTCACATAATTTGACTCAATTGAAATAAAAGAACAAATATTGAATATGATTGCAGAGAGATTAAACAAACAAAAAAACGTCCAAAACACATCCTCAGCCATACCACAAAAGTTTTGAATATTATTGACATCTATGATTAATACTTGTGTGCTTTTTTGTAGAATAAGAAGGTGATGCAGCAAATTCCCTGTCCAGCGGAGGACAAGAAATGGCTGGAAGGCACGTTGCAGCCATTGAATTGCTGCTGTCAGACCACTTTCCATGCACTTGCTCTTGCTCTGACAATGTCCATGGCAATGGCCCGTTACCTGCCTTCGCAGCCTTCCGCTTTCCGACGCGCCGTAGCTCCTTCTTCTCAGTGCGATTGAACTGGCGCTGGAGACTTGCAAATTCGTCGAGTCCGAAGCTGTCGATCGATCCACTGTTTCATAGTTGAAGGTGCAGAGTCTACACGTTCTGAGTAATCGAGGTTATGATGTGTTCCCGCAGCCACGCCCCCTCCCTTGGAAGAAAGGAGACTTCCATGCCATCGCCTTCGGCGTGTGAAGATTCTCTCATATATGTGCCTTGCAATAGGTGCAATTAAAAGAGGAGACCGTGAAGTCGGATTGCTTTCGCAGAGTCGATAATAACCTGCACGGTCTTGAATTGCTCCCGACAATGCCTGCGTTTCCCTGCCAGGTCGTGGCGGGATAATATCCCACTGCCTCCCTGTTTGGATCAGCGCGTGCTGCATGGACGCTGGTAAGGTAATGCGAATCTTGTCAACACGCGGTCTTTAATTCTACCGAATTATCTATCGTCTGCTTTTTGGCATAAGGCTCTGTGATCAGATGCGGGGTGATGACAGCCCTGGTAAGTTCAGTCGTCTGGACTGGATTATTGCGTAATGAAGAGGGCAGAGAAACAGAGAGGATTGCATTCGATTTGATTATGTGGACAAAGAGCGTTTCGCAGACAATCGGGACTGAGAGAGAGATCACACCTCCGTCTACAAAGTTCTTCAACTCTACGCAGTATGGAAGTTCCCTTGCTGAAATATAGGTGAAGACGGTAAGAAGGTTTTGATTACCTGTGACCATCTGTTCCTCCAGAAGCTACTTCTCATTGGATTGTGAAAATTAGGTTTGCGACATTTATCGCTAGATAGAAAGTGAAACCAGATCATTTTATGTTATCAAGGAGAGGGAAATAACTATAATATTGTAATCAGAGAAGCTTCGGTACAAAGATGTAAGCAATCCCATAAGCTCGTCGCCCCATGGATCACCAGTAGACTCGAGCCTCGCAGTAGACCACGGATAGGAACATGAAGGAATCAATAGCAAGCTATCATCATTCTCCAAGGTTGAATCCCTCTCAAGAATCACAACACTTACACAATAAGCGCTAGATTACATAACAAATTTCTCGGGAATATGTTCCAAATATACCGAAACTTGATGAACATACTTCTTCATCGTTTTGTCATCGTCACCAGCTTGTTATGATTCTTCATTGTTATTGATTCTTCATTTTTAATTGTCAACAAACTGATGATCCATTCTGAAAGGCATTGACAGGAGATTTGAAAATGCTTGTCTAACGCGGCTTATTCGGATCGAGTGATTCAACGTATTAGGGTTTGAATTCCATAGCGCTTAATGCAGGCAGGTGCTTCTTACGCTTCCTTGATTGCCTTTCAGTGCTCGCGAGGTCAGTTTCACATACGCCGATTGGAATGCCGCGAAGAAGGCACCTTTGTTAGCAGCGTAGGTGTTGACGATAGGAGCAGTGCGTGGATCGATGCTGAGCAGATTGTCGACGGTGAAGAGGCCACGTCCGTTTTGAATATCTTTGAAGTACTGGTTGTCGAAAGTGAACTGAGTGGCGTCGTTGGTCAGAACGGCGATGTTGAAGACATTCACTGCACAAGCTGCAGTGAGTTGAGTACGGAAAACTAAGCTGTTTGGAGCAGTTGGGCTGTTGGATTGCAGACGATCTTGAATACTTTTGCAGTGCCCCACACCAATGGTGTGCGCACCTGCAGGACAGACAAAAGGACTTCGAGTCAGAAACACTGACTAGAGTAAAACGACTTGATAAAGAACATCGATGTCACAAAACTTGAATCTGCATTCGTACCTAAAATGGCAACGCTCTCTTCATGAGTCATGCCGAATGCGCCAAAGACATTAAAAACCCTGTCGATGCTGGAGGTGGCTGGAGGAAGTTTAGCATCTGCTTCAGTAGCGCTTGAGGAAACGGCATCCTTTCTGCCTAGAGGAATCTTGATGTCAGGGCCGCCATTGAAGGCAACAGCGTCACGTCCCGCCATTGCGATGATATCAGCACATGAAACTGTGGTCGGACACATCTTCTCCATATCGGCTTTCACAGAGTTGATGATGTCGAGGCGCTTGACGCCAAAATTGTTCCCAGACGACATTTCTCCTCCATTGCCCTCTATCATGATTGAGCCATCGCAACCTCCCTTCAAAAATGAAAAGCCGTGTCAACGGGCGAACCAAATCATGAAACAAGTCATACAGCTCTTTATCTCAGCTCAGTGATTATGTTCAACTGACTAGCACGAAATATCACATGAGGCGACCTCAGTACCACATAGAATATCTTCGAAAAGGTGCGCAGCATTCAGTAATCTTCTCAATCGATGCAAAGATGTGGAATGCAAGTATTATTAAACGTGTGTCTTTCACTTTCGATTGTATATAAACAATCTGCGACTGACTCAGAACCACTGTCGATTTCAAAAATTTCCAGAAGTTCATCATAATTATCAGAACTTCTCTCACCCTGAGTCGTTCATCTCGTCTACTCTCGTGTGAAGTTTTTGTAAGGCGAGTAGTGAAGACTGCTCTTGATGAGAACACTTATTGAAACTTCTGGAAATTCTACACAAAATGTTAGGCGAGAGGCTATAGAACTTGTCATTTAACGTGTAATCAGGACTTCCCGTCACGATGTGCAGACTACAACATACAACAGATGCAATTTCAGGATGCACTTCGAGGCAACTCAGCTGCAGAGTTTGGTACCTCAGCGGAGATGACGTACCTGCAGGAAGTCCAGCTGCAGAGGAACACATCTCAATAGAAAGCTTGTCAGAAACCAATCACAAAAAAGTATGAAATGGGGCACGGCCATTGCCCTGCACTTGAATGTGTGGATCCAGGTCTTACCGGCCCAACTTGGCAGTCATGAAAGGCAAGGCGAAGCATGGCTGCACTAGCTGTAACGTCAGCGATGAAGCTCCTCCGCACCAGAGTTCGCACTCTATTCTCCACCCCAAAACATCCCACCCTATCGTAGTACCCGTATTGCAGCTCTGCATCCGTTACCGCCGCGAGATTAGTAACCACCACTGCAACAGCTGCACCCACCAGCAATGTCACTGTCCAGCTCGCCATTTGGGCACTCTCTGTGTATTCTTGCACCAAACCCAACTCCTCAATCCAGGAAATTCAACAGGGCGGCACAAAACTAGGCGTCCCGAAGCCTCTGTCAACTTCCGGCACGTTAGGAGCCGTAATTCTTTCTACACCAATCTCGTCTGCATGATGAGCACTGTGCTAAACCATGTCGCTAGGTCCTCATTCATCACTAATTCGCGGTACTGCACAATCAAAGAAGGGAGACCGGTCTTACAACAAAACAATCATCCAATAACAGACTATATATCCTCAAGCGACTTCATCATCAGCATAAATGTGGACATGCAGCCTCAGTAACTGTAAACGTCACAACGAGTCGAATAGCGCCATGCATGGAAAAAGAGGCAGCATTTCGCGTGACCTCCAGACGCGTCACCCCTAGCTGGCTACGGTGGGCAAGACGACTGAAGAGGCAATTGATCCCTACAGCAATTCATGACTGTTATGAACTCTCCCTCATTTAATGCAGGTTGACATGTCATTAACAACCAAGCTGGTCTTCTTCGATATGCCCTGCTTCGTCCTCTTTATGAGCCACCAGTGCCGGTCTATCTCACGTTGGACGACTTTTTGGTATTGCAGGGTTGGGGACCAAACCCACTTGTATACACACGTGACTGAAATGGGGTAAACTCTGAACCTCCTGGCTCTCACATAAATTGCTATTTTCTCTCGCTGAGCCTGATCTTCCATTACTGTACTGTAAAACTAGTAGTTGTAGTTGTAGTTGTAGTAGTATTTGCAGTAATGGCAGTAGTTTTGGTTCCTCATGTTGTGTTCTCAAAACAACCTTAGAACCCAAACAATTTTGGATTATTAAGTCCGATTTAATAGATTACCAAGAAGTGGCTTAGATTACACCGATGGTTGACGTGGCTCACATTTTCGAGTGAGATGCGACAGATTTTTGAGGTACTTAACATAAATGAGCTGAATCTAGGGTCAGTACAAGGGCTGATTTTGGTGGAGGGTGGTGGACTCGGTGGCTGGCTGCATTGAATTCTTTTCCTTACACTCTCCTGACAGAGCTGCTGATTGCAACCACAGCCCTTGGCTTCACTATGCAGCCTCCTTTATAACATGCGTGACTCTTTGCGGATGGCTACGGTGGAAACAGTTTGCAATCCGCTTCGCCGGACGTTGTGAACACAGAAGCAGCAAATTATATACTGCTCTACATATACGGATTGATAGAACAGATGCTTGGAATGCGTTACACCTTCCGCGAGCTCTATGTTTTTGAAGTCCTCTTTCAAAAGAAATTAAACTATAGGACAGTAAAGGTACGCGTTTAGGCGTCTTCATTCGAGGTAGTTTTACTCCCTCTTCCTCCTTAGAAGAGGAGAAAAAGTACCTACATTTTTTTAAAACAATCGCCAGCTGAGCAATCCAACAAACAATAATTCAGGTGGTACAACTGAGAGTGACAATGGAGGACTAAGTGCGGCCAAGGTCACCAATCCCAGGTGACGTCCAAGCTCGTGTTACTGTCAGGCTAATGCACGGAAGATGATCACTAGCCTGTTAACTCTTATCCTTTTTCGCAAGTCGTCTTCCACACACACAATTCTTTTAGGGTTGAAACCGAACGATTCCAACAATGAGGTAAGTGCTAGGCTCTAACTCCATTCACTTCCGAATCATCGATTTCGCTGGCGTGCAATCCCTAGACTCATGTCATGGAATTGGAGCTCGTCTTCCTTGGAGCACTCTCTCTATATGAATGCTCCCATGCACCACGACTACAGGCATGTCGCGGAGCGAGCTACTGTTTCCATCTGCAACTGTTGTTGCGCCATGATAGTGTCACAAGATGAGTGTCCGTGGAGGTTGTCACATGATCCCCAGCAGTGTGATAAGATCAGGGACCATGCTCAGTACTGGACTCTATCACGAAACCCTAAAACAGGAATCGGAGCACACACTTAAGTGCTTGCTTATTGGCTTCTGCGACGAACTCCGGCGTCACTGTTTCTCTGAGCACTCGGTCAAAGTGCACGACGAAGTAAGCTCACAGCTTGAGGGCCAAAGGTGCTGATGAGCACTGAGTGCTGGACAAAAAAAGTCGCGGTCAGCCTAGCGACTGGAGTTACCCACCCACTCTGAAGAGCACCCGGTGGCTCGGCGACAGCAATCATCGTCTGACAGATGAGATCAGATCTGGGCTTTTCACAACACAAGTGTTACATCACCACCGGTGAGGGACAGACTACGAGGTGTCGTGTTGGTGAGACTACGCATGACAGGTGCAGACCAATGATTGTTCTAATTCCATGAGGAAATGCTCAACATTTGCACACACACACACGTAAACACAAACAGGAACTATTTTTGGTTTCACAGGCTTCTAGGAATGAAGTTCTCATTCTCGACGTATGAATAGAGATGTGTCAATGGCTTGATTGAAATTCTTCATCATGATCAATACACAGTTATATTGATGTAGAAGTCACTGTACTGAACTACCCAGAAAAATTTCCAAAAGAGTACAAATTTTTGCAACGTAATATTACATTCAATGATTACTTTAGGTCTGCTAAAACATCTAATAATTGCCTTCAGTAAATTACATCATATTTCTATTTTAACCAATGTATGCTTTTATATTATTTAGAGTCGGGTTCTATCCAACTTTGGCTTGATGCAACAAATAAATAATTTACCAATTCCAAGAACAGTTTTGGATTCGGTATTTCTCCAATGGCTTCAATCCCAGGCTACTGGAACTCGACGTCAATCTCTGAATACCTGACAAACAAGTAATGTTGGACATCAATGACAAGACACTTGCAACTCACTTCTGATGTCTTATTCGTAGTTTGAAGCGGAAACAAGTTGGTCACTTCCTGCTGCATTGATCCATCAATATCGCATAACCAACAGCTCCAAGGTATCGGAGGTGGAAAAAAGAGATTGTGTACCTCAAACATCCAACTTACACGAAAAAGTTGTACCTCAAACATCCAACTTATGTCCATCGCCTGTTCGTAGCGTGTTACTGGTGAAAGGACAATCACATGAAAGACCAACCAGATGGGCCCAACTCAACAGCAATTGGGTAACTTGGTACCAAGAGTAGAGTTGAGAGCCTTGCGTAAATTTTGTCAGACAGTGGACGGTCGCGATGCAGTACTTGCAATTGCGGAATGAAAACCTATCGAATAAATTCATTGCATCAAAATGAGCCGGGAGGCAAGAACTCGCTTTCATCCGGGAATTAGATATTGTTGAGCTGGAAGTAACTTTACCACCAAACTCAACCATGTGTCGAATATCTCAATTTATTGATGGCAAAGGCGACACTCATGTACATTGGTTGGTGAACCCCGTAGAAGGCATTTCTTGCGTTGCCTCTTGAGGGTAATACTATGCGAGCTCCGCTGAAGAGGTTGGTTGAAAAGAGTATTTTTCGACGGCCATTTACTCTTTCAAGGGGTTAGATAGGCTGTTACTGGGGGCGTAGTAGAATCTGTTCTGAGTATTCTCTCTCGTTGTGCAACTAATAGAATCATCAAATTGACAACAGTAGCCATGTCAGAGCATCCAGATGACGAAGCAGCTTCTCAAAGTCATGGAAACCCTCTTCCTTTGGCTTCAATCCACAATTCCTACACGAACCTGCTACGAACCTGGACATACAAGCCACGCTAGGGCAGTGTCGAAAGAACTGTGATAAAATTAACTGTAAATAGTTGGAACCACTCCTGCTTCGAGCATAACATGTGGTTGAAATGGTGCAGAGAACTACAATGCAGAAAAGCAGAAATTTAGAAACATTAATAAACGTCAAAACTGGTTCATGAACATAGATTGCAGGCTTCACTTATCTGAAAGCCCAACACTGAACTCTTCCCTGAAGGACACATGCAATGCCAATCTGGGTAGAAATACATACCTGCCATTAGGGATCCTTGTCTCGTATGACCCAAATGCAGGCGAAAGCCTTCGCTGGCAGTGAACGAAAGACTCTCAAGAGTTTGTCAGCCCCAAAACTTTCTGTAGCGGTTGAAGCATTGAGTTACTATTCTTACATGCGACCTAGACAGGACTGGGCACATACAGAAGCGTACAGAGTGCATTTAACTGCCAACCAATTGTACCGTTGTATCAAGAACTGGTGGAGGTCATGGAGACAGGCTTCAGCCATAAAGCTGATCAATTTTAAATAATTGAAAGAGAACCACGATGTAGAGCGAGGAAAAAAGAATGTCAATTATTCTTTTGAGAATATCTAAAATAATATATTGAAGCCAGCTCCCAGTGGCCTTTATATTACATGTTCAACCCTAAACCTTTGCCTTCTCATCTATGATGCGCACATGAGAAGAATGAATTGCTGAAGAAGCCCTCCAATCAGTGTGCAAATTTTCTGTGAAACATAAATGCAGATCTGTAGTAACCACCGTTCAGAATCCATCGCCACAAATTTATGTCTCAAGGCCGTACCCTCTGGTCCTCGTCAACAAGAGAAACCAATCATCACAGCGTCAAACAGGTACTGTCAAGGACTACAGCCTTTTCACCCCATTTCGCCTTGAAGTTCTGTTAGGGAACAGCTGCATGATCCAAGTAAACACACGTTCAACAACTTCATCCCCTTCATCGACATAATCCAAAGCAGCTGCTCCTGCGTTTCTAGAAGCAGTCGGCACACCAGTGGAACTCCCATCAGCCATTCTTTGAGCCACAACAAGTTCCAACTGTTGTGTGGTAGCTTCCAGCTTCCTAGACAGATCAGCATTTAAGACTCTCAATTCTGCAGCACCTTTGGACTCCGCCTTCAGTGCTTTTACGATGGCAATTCTCTCTTCACCCAGTGAGGCAATGATATCATTGATGTTATTGATGGTTCTCATTAGATCTGCTGGTATGGATATACACGATGCTGGCAGCTCAATACTTTGATACCGACCACTTTGAGGGTCACCCGTTAATGCCGGCAATGATGAAGATCCAGCCTCCAAAGGTGAAGGAGGATACATAAAACTTGACAAAGCGGGTCCCACAACAGGAGGCACTGAGAACTCAGTGGTCAACCTATGCTGCGATGAATGAGCGGTGATTGGGCGAAAGAGAGGCTCCTCAAATCGTCGACTAGGGTGCTGGGAGTCGAGAGATGGAGAATCCAAAGGAGTCGAAGGACCATCACTGTGAATTTTCAGTGGAGAAGGAGGTAAATCATCAGTGGAGGTAGAAGCATCAGCCAAAACTCGTTGTCTCAATTGTACCGCTTCTGAGTTTTCACTCCGATAAGTAAACTCTCTTTCACCAGACGCTACCTTCCGAAGACGAACTTGAAGAACTTTCTTTTCTTCTTGTAAAGCATCAATCAGAGTCTGCAAGTGGGCACGATCCTGTTCCCAATTAGCAGCTTGCTTTCTTAGAGATTCCATCTCAGAACTAAAATTGGACACGTCTTTCTCCATTTTCAGCTCATGAGACCGCAATGTGCGTATACGATTTTCCAAAACAATGACTTCACCGGCCATGGTTTGGGACTGCTCTCGAGCTGCTTCAGAATCTTGTCGAGCCCTATCCCTTTCAGATACCAGAGCCATTATAAATGCTTCCCGTTCCTTCATCCTCTCTTGAAGTTGTTCTATGTCTTCTGACAATTGATTCACCAGCTGACCCTGCGCTTACAATGAAAATGACTTAAACAAATTAAACGGCATTATAAACTTGAAAAAAGCCGTTTCCAGGAAAAGAAGATATTCAAAACTAAATAAACAAAGTCCAGAGAGAGAGAGAGAACTGCAATGAGTAAATTGGGACTTAACATTAATATAATGACAAAATCCGCAAATCCTTGCACTACGTTTAAGATTCACCCTAATTCACAAATTCGTGTTCGACATTAACAACCACGAGTGGCTCCATGCCCATATATCGATACTTCAGAAACGAGGGTTGAATCAGACCAAGCGGAGATACCGTCATGTACGTGGCACATGCGAAGGGAGCTCGTCGATGTTATCAGGAAGAACATAGAAGCACTCTATCCAATCCAAAATCGCACATATTGTTACAAATCCACTTAGACTAGCAAGGCTACTAAAATGTAGGTACGATAACGATCCACGATGAAAAGTGATAATACCTGATGATTAAAATTTTCCACTAATGCAGAATGCTCTGAAACAAACTCTTCTGTCATCGCCCTTGCTTTAGCGAGCTCCCGATGAAGCGCAAATTTTTCTTCGGTTAGGTCCTGGATGTGCTGCTCAAGGCCTGAGAAATCCTCACGCTCCTTCTTTCTAGCCTCTTCTTCCTCGCGCTGCTTCCTCCTCACCTCATTGGCTTCGTACTCCTTCCTCATATTCTCTTCAGCCTCACGTTCCTTTCTCTTGTTCTCTTCTGCTTCACGCTGCTTTCTCCTCGAAACTTCGGCAATGAAAAGCTGCCTCCGTTTCATTTCTTCTGCTTCACGCTCCTTCCGCTTAGCTTCTTCAGCTTCGCGCTCCTTTCGAAGAGCGAATTCAGCAATGAGCGCCTGTCTTCTCGCGTCTTCAGCATCCTCACGTTCCTTTCGTTTAGCTTCTTCAGCCTCCCGCTGCTTCTGCTTCCTTTCTTCTGCTTCATGCTCAATCCTCGTAATACGCTCCACAATCACTAGCTGTTTTTCCTGCTCTACATCTTCCCGCTCCTTCCTCGATGCCTCTTCGGCCTCACGCCCCTTCCTCCTGAGCTCTTCTGCCTCTAGCTGCTTCCGGACGCCCTCATCGTCATTCTCGAACCTTTTGGAGATATCCGACAGCACAAACTGTCCTCTCTGATCCGCAACTACTTGCTCGTTTATCTTCACAACTGGCTCTATTTCAATTTTACAAGGCTGATCTACCACAATACCATTACTGTGTGCATCTTCTCTCCCAAACTTTACGTCTGTTATCACATCAGGATGAGAACTAGCAAACACTTCACTCGACGAATCAGCTTTAGGGTTTCCATTCACATTGATCTTCGCGTCCGTAGTAGCACCCCTCTGCTTCGGGGAAGTGTTCTTGTTTCTATTCTTATTCTTATTGCTCCTCTCCTTGAACCTCGCCAACTTCGCCCGGCCAGCTTCAAGCAACTCCTGCTGCGACCTTGCCATAGTTTCTACAGAAGCCATGGCCGGCATCACTTGCCAACCTCGCAGAAATTCATAACCACCAATGCTCACTCAACTGCTAACCCTATCCCACCAACTCCCTCACCGACGCTCCCGCTCAACCCCGATCTACGCTGCTATGTGCACAGCACCACAGCGCACTACAGCCACAACTCATCTTGCCATCTCGCCCACGCCATGGTTTCATCTCCAAACCTCCTTCAATCACACCAACATGCTACATCTCCAAAAAAACACTAAATCACGCAACACTCTCGCCTCGATCATCTCTCCTTCTTCACCAAAACCACACACCCCTCTCTCTCTCTCTCGCTCTCTCTCCCTACAGATCTGCTTCACGAATCCTCACCCTATCAAGCCTTAATAACATTAACAAAGACGTCGTATCGCCATCTCCTCCGATCCAAGCCCTCGCAATCTTCATGCCCTGAAAACGGCAACACCAACAACAACAACAAATGAGGCCATCGGTGGCCTGAAACAGGGCAAGGCCAAGCCAAGCGGAAAGCGTGTCACGGGCCGGGCCTCGGGTACTCGCATGAACCGACCCCCAGCCCGGCCCGGTCTGAAATTATTCGTGAGGAGCCACGGCCCTTTTTGACCAAGCATTTCACTAAAGCTCTCTCAATTTACTACTCACACTTCGGACTGCATCATCGTGGCCTGTCGTCTGATCGAAGGCTACGATTATGTCACGTTGCAATATCTCAGTGGATGCGACCCCTCGTATGCTGTGAGTACGTGGCGAGCTAGGGTTTGGGGATATTCGTTGAAGTGGCATCACACGTGGCGTTTGAAATATTTTACGTTATCGTGAGTAGTTCCTCTTTGGGACAAAATGAAAAAGATAAGTTCACTTTTTTAAAGTAAATAAATTTAAAAAAAGTCATAAATAAGTTCACTTGAAGTAAACATGTAGTTTTGTTTTTTTTTAATTTTTATTTTATTTTTATAACTAAATGAAGCTCTAAAGTCTTGTATTGCATGTAATGATAGATGCAAGACTTCAAAATCATTGAAATTGAAAAATAATAATAATAAATACTTCAGGAGGCTTCTTATGATTATTAAATTCATGGAATTTTTTGGTTTATGTTTGTTCTCTTTCTTTTTTTCAATTTGTAAACCACTTCAAAAGATTGAATTTTCAACATGGTTAATGTTGAATAGTTTTTGTTGAGATCATTAAATGTAGCATGTGCTCTCCATAACATTTACTGTAGACTACATTAAATACCATAGCTACAATATTTAGAGTTTAGTAGAGAAATATTATTTATCCTCTCTCCTTTTCTCTTCTTGTATACAAGACACAACCAGATCAATAGAATTTTATGTGTGAAGCTCTCTCTCCTTAGAAACCCTCTTGTGTGTATGACTTACTACTACTCTTGTGTGTGTATTACTTACTATTACTCTTGTGTCTTTCTAAACATTCTCAATTTGTTATCAGCACGACTCTCTTCTACACACTATCACAATTTTTTTTACTCTAGTCTTGATTCTTCTTGCTACTCTTGTTTAGTGTCTACTTCATAATCTTGTTGTTCTTCTTGCTAGTCCCTCACAAATGCTTTTAATAGTAAAAATGTATAGTATTAACTCACAATTATGATAATGTGGAGAAAGCATCTCTGTGTCAAGGACAAGAACTCGATGAAAAAACAATTCAGAGAAGTGAGCTTTCACTCAAAGAGAGGTAACAAAATATATATAAACAAGTATATATATTGAAATAGAAACTGGAATGGCTATTGCCAAAAGACAGGAAAACTAGAGACCCTTGAAACTAGACTAGAAGCAAGAAAAGAGTTGACAAGAGTGAAGAAGCCTTCACTCTTGTCTCTATATATACTATCTAACTAGAGGCTACATGGCGACGTTATTTAGGACCTCCAATATGTGTTGATTTTGTAGGGCACATGCCTTGACTTACAAGGCAAGTTTTTCTACGTGTGGGCCACATAGTTAGCTTGATCTTCAATCTAACAACATGTGTGGCACATGGCCAACTTGTTGACGACGTTTCTTATCCAAAAAGTCAATTAAAGACACCTATGAAGTCAAAGCAGTGTCTAAGAAGCTTCTAAGAAGTTTCATATTAAATATTATAGAATTAACTTACTTTTACCTACTTTTACTTACTTCTACCTATTTGTATATGTAATTATTAGCTTACATGATTATGGCCGTGACATTACCCCCCCTTCTAGAGACGAGTTCCACGAGGAGCGATCATCATATGTTAAGGAAATCTATGATGCGACGAATTATATTCGCCACATACTCTGATCTCTGTTCTCTTTGAAGATGATTGATAGGGCCTCTCAACCATCGGTAGTGTCCCATACTAGGGCGGTAAGACCACCCACTTATTTGATCATTGTTGAGGCCTTCGTAACTTCCTTCAAATAGAATATTTGGAACACCATTAGGAGTTGTTCCTACCTCTAGCACAATCACCAAACATCCGGAGTCCCTTCCCAAATCGTGATACCAAACGAGTTGTATCTCGCCATCTATTCGAGGAAGAACATGTCATTCTTGAAGATCTTCATCTCGATTGCGTCGTCTTGAAGGTTGTGACAATCGTAATGTCTCGTCTGGCAGGTCAGCAAATGAAGGCTCTTGAGTTAAATCCGTTGGTTGTTGGTTCTCCATCTCCCGAGCGCCACTACTACAATGAAGCTACAAACAAGAATTGAAAGTAGAATGTTAACTTGCCTAGATGTTGTTTCTTTTATAAAGAAGGTTTTCATCTTGATTTTGATGGATGTGGTTGATGAAAAGCCTCCACCGCCTTTGCTGCATTTGCAAGATTCTTTACTGGCTCTCATGTGCGTTCACTAATATCATATCTGCGCCAATGGACAAGATATTCGAATTTATTTCGGCACTGCCTTGAATCTAAGACTTCTTCCACTTCAAACTCTTCATTATTTTCCACTTCTATAGGATGAGGTGGAGCTTGTCTTCTTCTTGGTATGTCCACTATCTTGTACGATTCAAGAAGAGATACATAGAATACTAGATGGATTTTCATTCACTCCAATAGGTGTAAATGATATGCAACTGGATTGATTTGTGTACAAATAGAAAATGGTCCAAGCCTTTGATAGTCCAACTTGTCACAAGGACGAAAGGTCTTGATATTGCGACAAAGTACCTATACCTTATCACCCAAGACGAATGATGGTTGTTCCTTTTGATAGACATCCGCATTGATCTTTTGTTGTTCTTAAGCTACTTTTAACTGCACCTTCATCATTGCATGTAGCTCTGACAAATGAATTGCTAAATCTTTCCTAGCACGATTATCAACTTTTGAAAAGTCAAAAGTATCAAGTCATGGATGATAACCATAATTAGCAAAGAAAGGTGTTTGTTTTGTAGAAGAGTGTACCGTGTTATTGTAAGCAAACTCTGCCAATGACAAAAGAGTTGTCCAATCATCTTGTTGGTAATTAATGGTACATCTTAAATATTACTCCAAAACTTGATTAACACGCTCCGTTTGTCCATCAGTTTGAGGATGGAATGTCAAAGATAGTTTTATATCCACTTTAAGAATCTTGAAAAGAGTCCGCCAAAATCTTGATACAAATTGAGTTCCCCTATCTGATATAATATCCTTGGGTAATCCATGATAGCGATAGATATTGTCAAGAAAGAGCTTAGCTGTTTCTTCACCTATGATAGATTTTGTACATGGTACAAAATGTGCCATCTTGGTAAAACGATCTACTATCACGAATATAGAGTCATAAGAATCTGAGATTGGAAGATTCAAGATGAAATCTATAGAAACAGAAGACCATGGTTGTTCTGAAATAAGTAATGGCTGAAAAAGTCCGTAAAGTTGATGACGAGGAGTTTTCGATCTTGAGCAAACATCACATGATTGTACAAAATCTTTAACTGCCTTCTACATTTGAGGCCACCAAAAATCCCTAGATATCAGTTCCAAAGTCTTATTATATCCGAAATGTCCTGCTGTTGGGAAGTCGTGACGAGCTTGAAGAACACGTAAACGTACTTCTCCTTCTAGAACATATAGGCATCCTTCGAAATAGAGTAGGTTGTTCTTGAATTCAAATTTAGATGGATCATGAGATTTAGAAGAATTGTTCTTGATATCATGAACAAGAGGGTCTGAAGACATACTTAACTGGACTTGCTTAAGGAAAGTTAAATCAACAGTCAATGTTGATTTTATTGCTCGAAGATGAAATTGTTCCGGCTTCAAGAGAACCGTTCATTGTTGCTCAAAAGCTGCATCTCTTTCTTTTGGTGCAAGATAAGAACATCTAGATAAGGCATCGTATAAACCTTGTTGTTTTCCTAGCCGATAAGTGATGATGAACTCGAATCTTGATAAAGACATGCTCCAACGAGCTTAACGACGATTTAATATGCATGCTGACATAAAATATTCGAGGTTCTTGTGATCCGTATACACGGTGACTGGAGTAGAAGTGCCTTCTAGATAATGATGCCATTCTTGAAAAGAATCCACAATTGCAAGAAGTTTTTTATCACGGATCTCATAATTGAATTCTGTTGCTGAGAATTTTCTTGAATGAAAGGCTACTAGATGAAGTTTGTCATCTGTTCCTATTTGTGATAAAACCGCATCCAGAGCAAAGTCCGATGCATCTGTTTCCATAAAGAATGCTTTGGAAAAATCAACACGATACAAGATTGGTGCAGAAACAAATGCTGTCTTCAAAGATTCAAAAGCAACTTCCGCTTCTTGATTCCATTGGAGTTTGTTTTTACAAGTCAAACGTGTAAGTGGAGCTGCAACTCGAGAGAAGTCTTTGATGAAGATCCGATAGTAGTTAGCAAATCCCAAAAAACATTAGACATCTCTTACCATTTTTTGGATCTTCTAGTCTATAATAGTTTGAACTTTCTTAGGATCCATCATAAGTCCATCATTTGAAATGATGTAATCTAAAAAATCGACTTGAGCAGTGTGGAATACACACTTTTCTATCTTGGCATAGAGTCCTGCATCTCTTAATTTTTGTAACACACGACGAACATGAAGTTCATGTTCTTCTGGATTCTTAGAATAGATCAAGATGTCGTCTAGATAACATACCACAAAATCGTCCAAAAACTCTCGAAAAACATCATTCATTAGATGTTGAAAAGCTGCTGGTGCATTTGTAAGTCCAAAAGGCATGACGTTGTATTCAAAATGTCCATACCTAGTTCGAAACATAGTCTTCTATTCATCTCCTTCTTTGATGCGTACTAGATTGTATGCTCCCTGAAGATCTATTTTTGTATAGATCTTAGCTTGATCCAGCTGATCAAGAAGTCCGGATATTAGAGGTAGTCGATACCTGTTCTTGATGGAAATCTTGTTGAGTCCTCGATAATCAACACACATCCGCAATGATCCATCTTTTTTCTTCACAAATAGGATTGAAGCTCTTGCCGGAGATTTAGAATGGCGTATGAAATTCTTGGCTAGATTTTCTTCAATATACTCCTTGAGTTCAACTAACTC